TCGGCAGCAAAACCATACAGCCATTTCTAGCACCTGATGTGAACACAAGCTTTAGGGCTTTGTCAATGAGGAACTAATCCTCGCCAGCTAGTGATCCCACTAATACCTAATGGGATTTGCCTGTCTTTAGCAGTGAGAGGGCTTACTCCATGCTGTCACAAGGAACAAGGCTGTAAACAAAGCACATGGGGCCCTCTCCAGCTGCCCAGGCAGATGTTACTATCAGACACTCGGGTGTTTTTGCAAGGAAAAGGGAAAGCAGTGCTGGGGCCAGACGGACCAGAAAGTCACAACTAGGTCACTGGTTCGTACTGGGTGACAGCAGTCTCTAGTGCTTTTAGCTCACCATCACCCACTAGCTCTGTGTTAGCAGAGAAAGAATAAACTTGTGGGTGATGGGAGCAAAGTGACTTCCCTCTCTGTGACCCTTCAACTATTAGCTCTGGTTCCTGTGAAAAAACCCAAACTATTCAGCACTGGTGAGACCCACATCTGGAGTCCCGTGTCCAGCTGTGGGCCCCCCACTACAGAAGGGATGTGGTCACACTGGAGAGAGTCCAGTGGAGGGCAATGAAATTGGTTGTGGGGCTGGGGGACAGGACTGGTGAGGAGAGGCTGAGGGACCTGGGCTGATTGAGTTTGGAGAAGAGAAGACAGAGGGGGATTGAATAGCAGCCTTCAGCTCCCTGCAGGGGGGCTGCAAAGAGGATGGAGCTGGGCTGGTCTAGAGTTGGGGAAAACAAGGAGCAATGGGCTCCAGCTGCAGCAAGGGAAGTTGAGGTTTGGATATTAGGGAAAACTTTTTCACTAGGAGTGTAGTAAAGCACTGGGACAGGTTAGCCAGAGAGGTGAGGGACTCTCCATCCTTGGAGGTATTTAAGACTGGACTAGACAAAGCCCTGGCTGGGATGATGTAGTTGGGGCTGGTCCTGCTTGGAGCAGGGGGTTGGGCTAGATGTGACCTCCTGAGGTCCCTCATTGTCTGTGATTTTTGTGAAAACAGCTCTATGCACATGCATGTGTGTGTGTGTGTGCACTTGTGTTATGTGTCACACTGCTGGCTCTGGACACCCTGAGTTTGGTCTCTGCTGGTTTCCTATGCCAGGGCAAAGGAGGCTGTAATAACCTGGGGCAGATTCAGAAGGGGCGAGCGGTGGGAGGTTTGCTCGTGATACAAACTGACTGATTCTTTTCTGTTTGGTTCCCTTAGGGCTTCCTGCTTTGGTGGTCGCCATCTCCGTGGGGTTTACGAAAGCCAAGGGCTATGGCACCATGAACTAGTGAGTATCAGGATGCCTCTTTCATGCTCATCCTTTCTTACCCTCTGTCCTTTTGGCAACATCCTCTCTTGGCCCCATAGGAAGCAGGGCACCAGCACCGGCACGATGCCCCTTACCAGGGCAACGATGGGAAACAAAGCAACTTGCCCTCCTCTTGCTTTTGTCAGGGCATTAGCTGCCAGTTCAGACTGAGAAATGATCTGATTTCTGTGATCTTTCCTGAACATCCGTATGCAGCTTTTGGGGGATGAGCCACGAGAGAGAGGATGGATCCAACAGCAAAGGGATTTCTCCATTGATTAGAATAGCGACAGGGTGGGTTTCCACAGCCCTAATAGGCAGCAATGCCAGTCACGAAGGACATCCCCGCCCCTCAACCCTAATGGAGCACAGCTGGCCAGCTGTGCTAATGCGTAGTCATCCTCCATCTGCCTCTGAAGCACCTCACGTGGGCTGCTGTCAGAGGCAGGATATTGAGGGAGACAGATGGATGCACACACATGTGCAGGGACACACACTCCATGCACACACTCCTACTTTGTGCTCACATGCATACACGCACACAAGGTCATGCACACACGTGTTCTTACTATGATGCTCACCCCAGCATGCTCAGACAGGCCGTCATCCCGTGCACACTAGGCGTACGCACACAGTACGCATCCATTCAGTCTCTCGTGCTCCATGAGCCTGGTGTGATTCATCACGAGTGAGCAGTCCCTGGTCGTGCAGAGCAGGCAATGAACTCACACCCAAGTAGGCATGCGTGCTCTTTTTCTCTCTTGTGAGCATATATGCATACACATGCACACATTTTTTCAGCCTTCACCCACCTGAAAATACTGAACAGGACCAACACCAGTGTGTCCACATCATTAACTCTGCCGCTTAGAGAGTGCAAGCCCTTGCCCTGAAATAGCAGCCAGGCAGGCATTCACAGGCCTACCATTTCACTGCAGGCATTTGTAGGTTGCCATCCTGCTGCAGCTGGAGTCAGGGGAGGATGGGCTGCCCAGTGCAGGGGCAAGGCCAGGTCCTGATGGCATTGGCCCAGCACACGGCATGCCTCAGGCGCGTGGGGGAAGGTGTGTTGGCAGAGGAGCAAGTGAACAATTCATCCCTTTCTCTACCTGGAAGGAAGGCAATCCCTGCTGTGGCTTCCCACCGCCCTGCTAGCATAGCAATGCATTGGGGCTGATGCACTGAGGAAGGCACCCAGAGGGGTCCTGCACCCCAGGACATGTCAAGAAGCAGAACCGGGACTCACTGTCTTGCCTTGCCCTTCCCTTGCTGGAAGATGGGATGCTCTCAGCCTGTCTCCTGCCCCCGGTGCCATCTTGCAGAACAGCGCTGGTGAATGGGGCCCATCAGAGCTGGCAGGGGTCTCGGTGCATGGGGCAGAGCATAGTGCAGGATATATCCTCCCACCCCCCTGTTATTCATCAGATTGTACCCACAGATGGCAGAGAGCTGGCAGGGCTGCTGAGTGAAGGCAGGGGACACAACCAGGGGCTGGGTGAAGGAGGGCCCAGAAGTGCATTCCCAGTTGACCCAACTCTGGGCTGTGAGACGCTCCCTGTCTCCTCACTAACCCCTTCCCAGCAGTTTGCTCTGCAGCTGCCTCCTTTGTAGCTGGGTTTGCCATTACCCATCTCACAGCAGGGCACTGAAAGAGCTCGCAGTGGCAAAGGGGGAGCAAGCAGTGCCAGCAGCAGCACCATTGCAGCAAGCACTCTCCTCAAGGCCTGCCTTGTGTCATTGCTGCTAATGAAGGCGTGCATGTAGTAACAAGAGGTGATTAGTATTGATGTTGGCACCTTGCACTGACGTGGAACACTTCACATCAGAGGAATGAAGCAATTGTCCCAATGTTACATACAGGGAAACTGAGGCACTGTGGAGATAAGTGCCATCAGAGAAGTCAGTGGCAGGGTAGGGAACAGGACCCAGGTTTTTAACCTGCTCTTCTGAGTTCAGATGTGTTACTCAGAGGGTGTCTCTCATCCCCAAAGACCTGCCAGGTCTCAGATAGGCCCTCTTTTTCACCCAAGGCTGAAATGCAGCCACTTCTGGGGTAGAACAAGGGGAGCTTTCTAACCAGGCATGTCTCAATACTGCTACCTCTTAAGACTGGAGGCCAAGGCTGGTTTGCACTGACGGGGGAGTTTGATGAGCAGGAGGCTACTGCAGGAATTGGAAAGTGGCCAGAGGACTCAGGCAGGTCCCGCTCCATTCCTGCACCAAATGCACCAGTACCTTCTGGATCACAGTCCGTGAGGCCTTTGCTTTCAGCAAGACCGTGCTGGATCTGCAATGCAGAGTTTGCATCCAGGTAGCTCCTTCCCCATGCTCTGAGGTGGTTCAGATCTAGGGTTTTGGGGTAGCCTAAGCCAGAGGTAAATGCCACCCTCCCAACATAGAGCTTCTCCCCATATAAGGGGGTTTTGGAGCCCGGATTTGGGT